GCCAGGAGGGCAGTGGCCGATGACCGGCGCTCTACGTTCCCCTTTTGGGTAAAACTGCCCCAGGATGGAAATAGCAAATTAAGTTTGATCTTGCCTTAAAATGTCAACCATAATCTTCACCCTTATTCCTGTTTGCCAAAATATATATTTTAAAATGAAACCAACTTTTTAACAGTCAATGGTTTTCTTTATTCAAAATCTACTCAGGCATTGGGGAGAAAATATGAACATGCCATTTATTGTCTCCAAACAACTTGCTCCTGGCTCAGTGAGCTTGAAGGCAGAAGACACGTTTCTCCCTAACTGTGGTGGTTTTGAGTGGTGTAAGAAGTGGCATTGAAGGTATGCATATGCAGTGGCTGGCACAGAGCTGAACGCCCTGTGGGTGCTAAATAAATGATGATTGACTGCTCGCAGAAGGTGGAGAAAATGAACCTTGTGGATGATTGTGTGACACGGCACTGCTACCCCATTGTTCCTCTTGGTTTTCCTGCTTCCTTTTGGAAAGCTGAAAAAAAATACCAAATTGTCGTAGTTTCCAAACATTGTATAAAGAAATAGGGAAAATGGTTTTCCATCTACAGAAGAGAAAAAGGCCTACGTTTAAGAAAAGATAGCTGATGCCTTTTCGTTTTGTCCATCTGTTGACCAAATATTTATTGAGCTCCTATAACCCATCAGTGAAATGACTCCCCCTCTTCTAGCGTGTCAGCGCTCTAACCCAGCACAGCTGGACGGGTTTCACAGGCCTGGGATTCATCACGCTGACTTGTATTTTCCTAGCCTGGTTCAAAGGTCCCGGTTCCTGTAATCAGCCATATTATTCTCAGTCCTTTCGCTTTGTTCTAGAACCCCAGTGGGTGGGGACGAGGCGGAGGAGAAACAGAGTGCATCGGTTAGTTCCATGTCCGACAGTCCTGCGAATCTCACACATCTGTTCTGGAAGGGTGACTGTTCAGATGTGCTCACAGCAAGCGCTGTGCCTCTGAGAAGAGAGAAAACCTCCGGCTCCCACCTAATGAGTGAAGCGCCCATAAATAAAAATGTCATTTCCACCAAAAAGGGAACCAAATTATGAATTCAGAAATTCACAGTCATCTGTTTTTATTGTTGCCTAATGCTTTTTAGATCTGCGCAGGCCCTGCAGAAAATCAGCTCTGAAACTCCGCATAATTAGGACATCTTTCACAGTCGTAAATGCTAATCCCACTGGGGAACAGATTAAGAATTCACAGGCATGAATTTCTGGCACCAGGTACCTGCAGTTCCTTTTCTTTTTGAATAATTCATTACTTAAATACTGCGTTGTGTATCCTATACAGCCCTGCACATTGTATCAGGGGCAAGGGAGAAATAAGAGATTAATTTCACATATATTTCAACACTAAACACATTCAGGGCTCATTTATGTTGATTTGGTGTCATCGGATGCCAGTTGCTAAAAATGTTACAGTTTTAGTTAGCCAACCCAGGGAACAATTTAGGGAAATTAAATAGGATCTTCTGCAGGACATTAATAAGGTCAGAGATCTCACTTTTATAGCCGACTGAGTTATTTGGTTTAAAAGGGAGTAGCCCAGGGTTCAGAGTGTTGTTTCCTAGGAAGAGTGATGATTATTTGCAGTCGCTATGGCTTCTGGCGAACACTTCCCCATTCTGTGCCTGCTTTATGACAAAATGTATGACAGACAGTGAAAAGTGACGACCTGAACTTGACTTTTGTCCGTGCTGTGCCAGCCACGGGGCTTTGGCAGGACAGCAGCTCTCCTGCAAGGCTGGAAGCCATAGCCTTCCTTCTGCGAGGGCTTCTCAGGGCCTCCATCAGCCTGGTGCAAACCTCGCTCATAGAAAGTACTCGCTGTGCTCTGAGTGATGGTTTGTGGAGGCGCCTATCCCTCTGGAGCAGGAAACTCCTCAGGAAGCTGCGTGTCCCTTTCATCTGTGTGTGTCTGGTGCCTGTACAGAGCCCGGGACGCAGAAGCACTTCACATCTGTTTGTTTGGTCAATGAATGAGTTTTCAAGGACTAGCCCGAGCCCAGTTGGTTGCAAGTGACAGAAATTCACCTCAAATAACTTAAGTCTGAAGGAGAAAGTAGTATGATGATATTAGAGTCTCTTGTTGAACCCATAGGCGGGACCCTGGTCTCAGAACTGTCAGGATGCTCCCATTTGGGGGCCCTGCCTCCCTCTGTGACAACTGCCACCTCCACCAGCATCGCTGGGCGTGCCCCATCTCACTGCTTCCGCACACACTCCTGCTCAGTTCCAGGACCAAGGTTCTTCAGGGTGGACTTTGAGTGACTCCAAATGGGCCAGGTGCCCACCACGAGCCAATCAACTGAGGTCAGAAACATGGTGTTCTTATAGGACAGGCCAGCTCCCCAGGGGTGCAGGTGAGAGAAGAACAGGGCTCTGGGCAGACTAGAGTGTCCGGGATCCTTGGGCAGTATGGGTGCGTGAGAGGGCATCATACTGCCTGGCACCGTCCTCTTGTGACAGTAGATGTGACGGCAGTTGTGACTGTCCTTTGGGAGAGAACGGGCTCAGGTGGGGCTGTGCCTGACACTTCCTCCTTCCACTATTTCTTAGTATCAGGCATTAAAAGCCTGCATCTGAATAGCCTTTTAGATACACAGGTTATGAAAGTTTCACCGACACTGACTACCTACTGCAGTCTTCACACCAGGGGAGACTGTCTCCATTTTTGATTGGAGGAGATGGAGGCCGGCCCCCTGTCGGGCTCTGGGCACCTCTGCACGGCAGAGGGAGTGTTAGAATTCGGGTTTCATGGCGTCCAGTTCAGGTCCTGCTGCTTCTTAAGACTCTGCCTTCTTTATAATTAAAATAATGTGTCTGGCATTTTACTACTTAGAAAGTCTCTGCATTTGGGGGTGACTATGGCTGTCCCAAGCACTTTACATGTGACAGCTCCTTCAGTGTTCACAGAAACCCACGGAAGAAGGCACTATTGTTATCCTGTTAAGCATATGGGGAAACTGAGGCAATGGTAGGTTTACAGTCCCCCCCAAGGTTGCAGGGATAGGAACTGAAGGTTGATAAAAGAACTGAAGCCTGAGGGGAGGGGCTTGTCCATAATCATGTGCTAGCTGGTTTGGGGGCTCATCTCCTGCCTACTCTTTCCAGCCTGCTGACCTCTTGACAAACTACCCTACCTCTGGGCCTCTGTTTCCTCCTCATCTGATGTGGGATCAAATCCAACAACTTTAAGGTTTCCATCCAGTCCTATTGACAAGAGGTCTGGAGACTTGTTCAAGGCCGCATTACTGCTTCCTCTTGGGGCTGCACTGGCTGCTTAAAGCCCAGCCTCTGCCTGTGGTCCAGGGAGAGAGAAAAGTCACCAACAGCCTCGACCATCCTTGAAGCCTCCATAGCCGCTGCAGGCTGCCACTGCCTGTGGCAAACGGCTCTCTCCAGCAGCCAGTCAGCCCTCAGCAGACCTCTCATTGGGATGGTCAGTCTGCTGCCTGCACGCTGCCCAGGGCCCTTGGGCGTGCTGTGGTGATAGGAGAGGCTGTTAGTTTCCACCAGGTGTGCAAAAAGCTGCTGGGTGGGCACAGACAGGCGCCAGCAGGATGGTGACTGTGGGGGCACAGGGCGTGGCCTTCGCAGCTCCCACACAGCTGAGCGATGCCTTCTTCCTTTGCTTCCCTGTTAAATTTTCATTTATTCATTGCCTGAATTTCACCCATGGCTGTCTTTATCAGGGGGTGTCCACCCCATGGCCTAACTCCCTAGGGAGTAGCCGGTCTGCCTTTCAGCGTCGAATCTTGGTTGCACTGCATTGCCATGGGAACTATGGCTGCCATCAGTTGTCACTAACGTCCTAGGGAGACTCCCAGGCAGAAGTGAGCAGTTCTGTAAGGAACGGAGAACGGCACTTCACGTGTATTCTCGAGCAGCCATTTCATCTCTGTGGGTCTGTTGTCTTAACGCCCAAATGAGAACGCTGGCCTGAGTGATCTCCGAAGCCTTTTCCATCCCCTGCTCTGTTTTTGTCCACAGCCTCAACATTCTGTGGCCTCCAATGGGCGTTTACGTTCCACCGCCCGCCCAAGTCCCAGCCGGCCGAGTGTGTGTGCCAAGCTCCTGCCTGTAGCAGGAAGGGCAGCGCTCTGGGCCAGGGACCAGCCCTGTCTTCAGGAAAGACATTGGGAGTCACTGCCGCATGTGGCCGCCCCATGGCTCTCAGCCTGGGGAGGGAGAGTGATCAGGGGTGTGGGGCACCGTTGCCTAAAGCCGGAGGAAGCTGCTCCCAGGGTTCTGTGTGTGGACTCAGAGCACAGCCACGGTGCTTGTCACCTGCCCTGTCCTGGCCCAGCCCTTGATCCATGGCCTGGAACGTCTACGTCTGAATTACTGGGCCAACAGACGAGGTACCAGAACGTGAAATACAAAGAGAAGGGATAGATCGTGCGTCTGCATTTCTGAGTGACATTCAGAGCCCCATGATTTTCAGGGCCGTGTTGATATGCACTGTATCCTATGTACAGAGAGAGCCAGTGCCAGATAATTCAGCAGGAGACACGCACCTGTGCTTCGGAGATGAGGCCTCGTATAGATGGCTCTATCGCGCACGGCTCTTTTCTTACTATTTTGCTCCCCTGATCTTCCCAACGACGCTGTGAGTGGTAGGTATTATTATTCCAGTTTTTCTCCTGGGGAACATGAGATCAGGGTGGTGAGGGGGCTCCCCATGGCTGAGGGGGGACTGGAGCCCTGCCTAGGCCAGTGCATGTCCCCGCCGAGCCGTGCACAGGGCTTCCTGCCACAGCCGTCTCTCCAGTGCCCACTTGCAGCCATCACTGTTTCTGTGCCAGACTTCTCATTTTCACTTGAATGTGTTTCTTATCTTCTCCGGGGCTGAGGTCACTCTTTGTGTCGTAGGAGTCTGCTCTGGTTCCTGGCAAGAAAAAGCAGGAATTGTGAAAAGCAGCCACTGTCACTCCGGGTTCCTCTGTACCGCGTCCTGTAAATAATTTATTTGGAGTTGAGGGCCTGAGACTGAAAACATATGCAGCCTCACCCTCCGTGAGCCAGCGAATTCTGTGTTCAGAACTTGAATGCAGTGGACGAGAGAACTGTGTCTTTGAAATCAGAGAAGACTTGGAATGACTGTAGAACCCGGGTGGACGCGCCAGAGGCAGATGGACAGCAGCACGAAGCAGCCTCTTTATGGCCCGTAAGGTCACCTTCGAGAGTTCCACATACGTTCCCTGTACACCCTGCAGCCGGGGGCTGGGGACCAGGAGCCGTGGAGCTGGGAACCTGCGGGGGAGGTCGGAGCTGGGGCACCTCCCAAGTCCCTCCTGCTGCACTCAATACCGGGATTGGACAAAGAGAAGTGTGTCTGCCAGGCTCGCCAGCCCAAGTCACAAGATTGCGAGTATCATGCAGCACCCTGGAATTCCTACAAAAACTCAGCAGAACGGGTACGCCGCCCGCCACGCGGAAACGGCCGTGTACCGGACTTTCCAGATAAAAACGTTTAGTACAGAGTTGAAAAACCATGTGATGGTCATGGATTTCGTGAAGAGCAACTGGTTTCCCTCCCAGAGAAGAGCCAAAGTTTGTATCATCCATATGTATCAAGGCCTGAAGACAGCTGAGCAGACAGCCAGCAGACATGAGGTACGGCGGGCGGAACTGGGGCAGGGAGCAGTGGGCGCACACCTGAGGCAGAGAGGCGAGGTGTTGCTCACCAGCCAGCTTAGATGGTCTATCTGGACTCATAAATTAATCATCTGTTTTAGTTTCTCCCAAGGGATTTGGAAAAGGCTTTCTCATCCCCTAATGTGTTTGAAATATGGGGCTGTCGGAGAACCGTATCGGATGAATGTAATTTACACCTGACACATGTCTGCATTTGCAAACATTTATTAGTGCTCCAAAGAGTTGGATAATTCGTATCCACATGTAGTGGATACATGTGGATACATTTCTGTGAGTTAAATATTCTTAGTGCTGTACATTTGCAATGATTTGTCTTTAAAATCAAATTCCAATTTGTTTCCTGATGTGTTTCTGCAGGAGAATAGCTACGACTTGCCTTGATCCAGTTAAAATAGAATGATTTAAGTTAGGCCAGTAAGAAGGTCTTTTATTTTTTTGAGGGGGAGTTCAGATTTTTCAAGCAGAGACTACTTTTGTGGGGGTGGGGGGGAGGAGAACTTCAGAGATTTAGAATGGCAAAGTGAGATGAACAAAGCACTCTGAAGCATTCATCTTCTGCAACTCATATAAGCCACAAGCAGTTATCTTTCAGAAAGTAAACACGCATGAAATCTGACCGGCTCCTTATTGTACATGGAATAAATTATGAATGACATTGTAATTGACTCCATGTAGCTCACTTACCCATCTCTTTGGATAAATGCAAGGCGCAGATTGCTGATGTTTTATGAAAAGGTAACCTTTCTGAATATGGATGCTATTATTAGGAAAGGCTTCCCATGAATGCTGGCAAGGGCTCCCCATCTTTTGTTCCCCACACTGGCTTCCTTATTCCAGGGCAACATGAGAACCTGTTCTACAGGGTTCAGGGCAGGCTTCTTTCAGTTGCAGCCCCGGGACTGTGAATTTCCATGTTTCCCCCAGAGACATAAAGGCCACAGAAATAATGGTGTTAATTAAATTCAGTCATAGTTGTTCGTTAGTTCATTGCCCAATCAACCAGGGCAAAAGGTGTGCAATTAGAATATAATTGAAAGAAACCAGAGGTGTTATTATTCATGAGTAATTAATAGGATGGGGACAGAATTTCGTCACTGTATAATTTTCATCGAGGTTACTTTTCAGTCCTCCAGATAGAGAAAAACTTGTTGAATTACATCCTTTTGCTTTTTACAAAAGTGTCCATGGCTCCATTTTAAACTCGAAGTGGCAAAGAGCACCCCTTGCATCCCCGTTTGTTTTTCAAGCATAAAACTTCACTCATTCCTAAAGCAACACTGAAGATAACAATGTGGAAAGGGCCATCTTTGCAGGAGGTTGTAAAAAAACTTCAAGCATCCTGAGAATCACAGCTACAACCTTTTGGTAGCCCACCTCCACCAGAGGCACTGCCAGTTTAGAGCCACCAGTTGAGGGTGTGTGCCTGCTACTGGAATGTAACCTGGTGTCTAAGGTTTTGTGCTAAAATGAGCCCGAGACCCGTCCCACAACAATCAGCCTGGTCAGCTGGATGGTCCTCACTGTGATCTGAGAAGTGGTCCAGGTAGGGCCTGCCTTGTCCGCTCACGGGCAGGTCAAGTTCAAAACCCATCAGATAGGATCTGAGCTTCCTGTTCCTCTGAATTCTGAGCTCGCTTCTTCTAGTGGCAAACATTTCAGAATCTAAACTGTTCCTCATCCATTGAACTATTCAGATTATTCCCACTAGGGCATGTCAGCACCATTTAGATCAGGAAACCCAAGAAAAAAGGCAACTCCCTTGCTCAATTTCCATGCTGAGCTGATGAGAGAGCCCAATTAATAGCCCTGGGGTCCTGTTAGACTTGGCCCACTGACCCCTCGTCTCTCTCAGGCGCCAAGGCCATCGGCTAATCGGTGCGGGCTTTGCCCGTGAAGTACTCGATGGGGCGGGAAATGAGCAAGGTCGCTGGGATGAATTCAGGGCAGAAACGCGCTGATCAAAGGCGCTGGCTGGTTCTTTAGTGAAAGCCAGCGGGGGGAGATTTCGTTTCTGTAAGAACTTTATGGGTTTCCAGTCCTTCCCACGAAGACGTGCAAATCTGTTTGGTTGAGGTTAAGGTCTACGACTGGCATTTTTCTAACACTGTGGCCTTGGTCCTGAGTGGCGTTCATGCCTGGAGGTGCTGCCTTCTTCCCTGAGACAGGCGGTGACCCAGCCTAACCCTGGCCACACTGACCCCCTTCCTTCAACTGTCTTCTGATCGGAATGACGAGCTGACCTGTGATGCAGGAAGGTCACTAGGTTTGGGAGCTGATGTGGAGAGGATGCCGAGGATACGGTCTTCATGCTTGCAAAGCCGTGATCCCCACTGACTCCACAATGCCCCAAGTTATTAAGAACAGTGTGCCGAAGGCCTTTCTTTCCCTGCATACATACCTGATCTGTTTCAGACATCAAAATAGCCATCACTGGACAATGGGAGGGGCCTGTGCTTGAGTTCTGGCGGCCGCCCGCGCAGCAAGCATGGCCATGTTCTCACATTCCTGGGAGAGCACGCATGGTTTCACCAGCTTCAGCAGGGAAACTGCGTGGAATTCAGGTGGGCTGGCCTCCCCGGGTTTGCATGTGAGCTGGCATCTCTTAATTGATTGTTGAGACCGTTCTGATGATGGACGTAGGCTGGGGCACTCAAGCCAAGGCGTGCCCATCCATCTTCCTCTAGCTGACACTTTCTAATACATTTAATCATGAGATGAGCCAGGAAAGCTTCCGTATTTGGTAATTGCATTTTGGCTGCACCTCTCAAGATTTCTCAAACTTCTATCATTTTGATCTCCCCTTCTACTCATTTTTTTTTTTATTTAGCTAGTGGTACCTAATTCTGGCTAAATATAAGAATCATGGTGAACTTTGATTTTTAAAACAAATTTATGATGTAGAAAAATTTTCTCCTTGTTTGATCTATACATTTTGACAAGTTAGGACATACATGCCCCCATGATACTATCACCACGGTCAAGGTGCTAAACATCCATCACCTCTAAAAATGTCTTTGTGTTCTTTTGTGGGTTTCTTTCCTGTTTGTTTTTTGGTGGTAAGAACAATTAATATGAGGTCATCTTCTCAGCATATTTTAAAGTGCACAATACCACAGTGTACATCGGAGTTCTGGAATTTACTCATCTTGCATAACTGGATTTTTATACTCATTAAACCACAATTCCCCGTTTTCCCCTCCCCCAGCCCCCGGCAACCACCATTCTATTTTCTGCTTCCATTAATTTATCTGGTTTAGATACCTCATATAAGTGGAACCATGCAGGATTTATCCTTCTGTGATTGGCTTGTTTCGCTTAGCATCACGTCCTCTACTTTCATCCATGTTGTCACAACTGGGAGGGCTTCCTCCTTTTTAAGGCTGAATAATGTTCCATTGTGTGTATAACATTTTCTTTGTTCATCTGTCGGTGGACATCTGGGTTGTTTCCTCATGGTGAAATTTTAAAACCACCTGTTCCTGTCGCCCAGCCAAGGCCACGGTGACCCAGGGCAGGTGTCTGATTGGGTCGTATTCCTTGAAAGAGCCTTGAACATCGTTCTGGCCTGAGGCTGTTACCTAAATACAGTTTGATCCTTTCGAGGCTTCTGGGAAGACTTTAGTCCAGGGTAGTGGTTCTCAGTCAGGGATTATTTCACCCCCAGGGGATACTGGTAATGTCTGGAGGGACTGTGGTGTGACAACTAGGAGAAGATGCTTCTGGTTCCTATCGGGTAGGGGCCAGGGAAGCTTCTGAAGAACCTGGGCGCCCAGGACATCCCTCTTCCCCCAACAACAAAGCGCAGCCCAGCCTGACATCGCCATATGTGGAGGCTGACGGACCCTGATCTGTGGCTGTAACCCGCACTGTAACCCACACAGGGCACGACGCTGTGAGGGCTGCGCTTCACGCCCGAGTATACGAGACCTTTCCACCAGCGCCAGTGGGAGTGTGAACTGTTTCCAGCTCTGGGTGAGGTCCTGGAAGTGTCCCGCTCACTCTCCTGGCTTCAGGCTGTTTTTCTCTCAAGCACGTGTGAAACAGGATTCAGCTGAGACTTGACGGCCCCTTGCAAGTTGCGAGAACTTTCTTTCCTTGCATGATCTCTTCCTCGGTATTTGGCCGCACACATTCTAGCGACCTCGTCCTATCTGCATCCGACCTGTGCCTCCTCAACTCAGTGAGACCCTGGCCTCTCCAGTTTCCCCTTCCTGCTCTGCAATCTGGAAACTGCCTCTCGCCTCTCTCATTTCCTCTCCCGTCAGGCTCACAGCCCTGCAAGGTTTGCTGTCCAAGGTCTGGAAACCATTGCTTCGAAACTTTTGTCTGGTTACTCCCACATGGCCGGAAGTGGAAGTCCCCCCATGAGGTTTGGATGTCCCACCAGGGTTGAAACATGCCACTCTGGGCTTTGATGAATGTTTTCCAGTGCTTGGGGTGAGCCCTCAGGTCATATGAAATAAAAGCACCCAAATTTTAAGTTGCTTGGGCTTCAAGATAACTTTATTCAGAGAATAAAGAAGTCACTGAGACCAAATGGGAGGTAAAACAAACATTCCCTTTCTCCTCACAGTTATCAAAAGGCGCGGTACAATGTGCCCAGCCCCAAACCAAGCCAACGAGATTGAGCCAGATCAGAGGCTCACGTTTCTTCCGGAAGTCGTGGACTCCAAGTGATGTTTGTGCCGGGAGATGCTGGCGCTCTGGCTGCAGCGAAGGCACTGAGCCCTCCAGAGTGAGGAGGTTTGGGAAAAGGCCGTTTTCCAAAGGACAATAACTATTTGCATTAGCTTTGCCACCAGCGAACAGACCAGGAACCCCTCCCCCCTCCCTCTGCTCCTCTTAGAAGCCTTGGCCACTCACCTCCATCGACAATGGCTGGTAGCCTCCGTCCACACAGAGGAGGAAGGAAATCCAAGAGGCCAAAGATGAAACAACCCTGGGGTGTCAGTGCTGCC